TAAGTCGGTTCAGACTCAAGTCTGTTACATGTAGCAGGTGTGTGAATCGGCTGATCAGAGCCAGCTGCATTTCCTGTAGCAGGTGTGAATTGGCGGGGAGACGAAGAGACGGTTGGTTGGTTATTCGTGTCATTACCCACATTTAGCTGACTCAATGTGTGGCAGCGCGCTCGTGCTTTCGCTGTCCTGCGTTTGTGTGTGTGTGTGTGCGTGCGTGCGTGCGTGCGTGCGTGCGTACGTGCGTGCGTGCGTGTGTGCGTGCGTGCGTGTGTGTGTGTGTGTGTGTGTGCGTGCGTGCGCGCGCGTGTGTACGGTGGGTGCGCGCGTATATGTGACCCTGATATATGTGTATCAATAGCGCTAGACATTTGTCTTGTTGTCACTCTGCTCGCGCTATGCGTACAGTGTACCTGCATATCTCTCTATGTGTACATACCTACATCTCCTGAGTGGACTGTGGAACATGCATTCGTAAGCAATGCATGCCATTCGCAAGCATATATATGCATATTTGTTTACGGGTGGGTGGATGGGTGGGTGGGTAGATGGATGGATGGAGGGGCACACAACAAATAGACAGATAGACAGACAGACACGCACACACACAGACGCAGGCACGCACGCACGCACACAGTCAAATGGACAGACATGTATGGGCATGTATCGGTGATCAATCACAGCACGTACTATTTCATGATCAACAGCACGTACAGCTTTCTGGGGTTCCATGTACAGTGTGTGCCACTCATTACCTCCGCGCAACGGAGTTGCAGGGAGGTAATGTGATCCCTCTCGTGTGATGCGTTCGTGTGTGTATGTAGCCAGCAGCTCGCCTTAGGGCGTCGAGTTAGCAGCAGCTCGCTCGCTTGCGCGCAACAATCAATATTTCAGCGATTCTACTACTACAAGCTAGAACTACTAGAACTGCAACTAAAACTGAAACTAGAGTCAGCGAGCGGGCGCGCGCGATCGATAGCGCGTCGAGGCAGCGAGTGGCGAGTCAGCAGCGCGCCACCCAGTGAGCGGCGAGGCAGGCGAGTCAGTCAGCAGCCGCCACCAGCGAGCACATACATGTTACATGCTTGCGGAGGTATGCACTCTCCGTGAGTGCCCTCTGTCTAGTTATACGAGCAACAGCAAGCCGTAGCAGTATATGTGTGCGTGTAAGTGTGCGTGTGTGCGTATGTGCGTGTGTGCGTGCGTGCGTGCGTGCGTGCGTGCGCGTGTGTGTGCGGCGTGTGCGTGCGTGCGTGTCGTGTGTGTGTGTGTGTGTGTGTGTGTGTGTGTGTGTGTGTGTGTGTGTGTGTGTGTGTGTGTGTATAGTCGGTCTGATCATGAGGCTGCTCAGTTAACAGCTTGTGCCTCTGCCAGGGTGATATTTACCCGCTGTTTACCCCGTCGGTAAGTGACAGCCCCCCCCCACCCCCGCGCGCGCGAGCGTGATAGTAGTGATTGAATCGCATGATGGATCGAATCGATTGCGCACCTGATCACCGCCCGGCTACCGGTCGGCTGGTTGTTGGTGGGTTTTTTTTCCGAGGGTCACTGTGGCACGTAACACGCGAGTGTGTGCTGCTACCCGTGTGCGCGTGTATAGGGGCGAGATCGCGGTGGCTGGCTGGCTGGCGCGCTCCCACATGCAACACGTACACATTCCACGCGCCAGTGGGACGTGCGTCACACCGCGTGACGCCGCGGTATGGTTGGTACATCCCACTCCCCTCCACGCGCACGCACGCACGCACGCACGCACGCACGCACGCACACACACACACACACACACACACACACACACTGACACGTGCAGAGGCACGCACACACACACACACACACACACACACACACACACACACACACACACACACACACACGCGCGCGCGCGCACACACACACGTGCAAGCGCACGCACAAACACGCGCACGCAGGCACGCACGCACGCACGCACACACGCGCACCGCACAGGCAGGCAGCGGACGGTTAGCAATCGGTGAGCGTACTTACGACCGTAGTCAGTCAGTGACTCGGCACAGTGCCCAGCGGAAGCAGCGCAAGACCGACGCCAGCGCATACGTGGCGCTGATCCGTATATGTGTGTGCGTGTTGGTGTGCGTGATTGTGTGTAACACATAGCTTTCCCGTCGTAGTCTGTCTGCCTGAACAGCTACCGATTGAACATTAAGGGCTAGGAGAAACAGCCGTGTGTTTGCGATTACTGTGTGCATGTAAGTATGCGTCTATATATGCGCAGTGGTAGCATGCTCTGTGCGGTTGTCGTGTATCAACCAGTGTGCTGCGACAGATCGCTGATGATAAATGGCCGCCTGTGATACGCGTAACAAGCACGTATATAGTTGTTGTAAGTGTGTGTGTGTGTGTGTGTGTGTGTGTGTGTGTGTGTGTGCGTGCGTGCGTGCGTGCGTGCGTGCGTGTGTGTGTGCGTGCGTGCGTGCGTGCGTGCGTGCGTGTGCACGCCGTCACATTCGCGTGTCACTGTGGACCAGCGATAGCCGTACGCGTGTCTTCTCTACTCATGCGCACACGTCTGTAGAACTGCGAGGACGTGCTTTCGCTGGGTATATACGTCTAGTTGGCTTAGCGTCAACTGTGCTGTCAACCTTGTTTACGCTCTGTCGCGAGTAACTCGCAGTGAGTGTGGCTGAGAGACGGGGGATTGAACTGCGGTTACTTCACATAGGGTGTTACATCTACGTGTAAAAATGGACTCTAGGGCAGGATCGGCAAACATCCATCCATCCAGCAGAAACCCAATTCGGTATCAATAGTAGCGAATATATATATTATTTATATATATATGTGTGTTTGTGTGTGTGCGTGCGTGCGTGCGTGCGTGCGCGCGCGCGTGCGTGCGTGCGTGTGTGTGTGTGTGTGTGTGTGTGTGTGTGTGTGTGTGTGTGTGTGTGTGTGCGTGCGGACGGGGGAATGAATAGAATACACCCGGGGCGCATCGCTCAGAGAGACGTCTGCTGCGATGTACAGCAGACGATAGTGTCGGCGACGAACAGTACCGCGGAGGCGCGCTACACGCATCCGTGTTCGGCGCGTGGATGTTTGTTTACTCGCTTGGAACAACAGCAGAGTGGAGCGGCTGATAGTCCGTAGTGCGTGAGTTTACCTCGCTCTTTGCTGCGGCGCTTTTCTGGGGCGTTTTTCCCACCAAACGGCCTATCTGGGGCGCGTTTTTCCACAAAACGCCCTCTCTGGGGCGTTTTTCCACCTCATGTCGCATCAGTGCGTTGGTATGCACGGGCGCGGACAGCTTACAGCGATCTCAGGTAGATGGATATGATCAAGAGCTAATAATACCTAGGTATTATTAGCTCTTGATATGATGGGTGTACACACATGCACGTGTATAGCAAGCGTCAATGAATGAATGTCGAGGACGGTGCCTCGGTGAGATCCGGGAGGCGTGATACTTTGATGATAATCGGCCCGCGTCCCAGTTTCGTCGGACCGGAAAAGTCAGTAGCGGATGAGGAGGAGGAGGAGGAGGAGGAGGAGGAGGAGGAGGAGGAGAGAGGCAGGGGGAGAGCGCTGGTGTTGAGCGGGGAAAGGAGGCGGCGGTGGTGAGCGGGGGAGGTGGCAGCGGTTTGTGAGCGATGGAGGGAGAGGTGGCGTGTGGAGGATGGAGGGGGGGCGAGTTGTTGCGTGAGGAAGGAGGCGGCGTGGTGACGGAGGGAGGAGGCGGCGGTGTCTGATTGAGGGATGGGCAGCGGCGGGGCGAGCAGGGGCGGGGCGCGTGTGTTGAGTGAGGGAAGGGGCAGTGGGCGAGTAGGGGAGGGGGCGGCGGTGTGAGTGAGGGACGTGGGCAGTGGGGCGAGTAGGGAAGAGGCGGCGGTTGTTTTGAGTGAGGGAAGGGCAGCAGTGTGAGTGAGGGCGGGGCAGTGGGACGAGTATGAGGCGAGGCGGCGCGGGTGTTGAGTGAGGGATGGGGCAAGCGGCGGGGCGAGCGGGGGGAGGGGGCGGCGGTGTTGAGTGAGGGGAGGGGGCAGTGGGGCGAGTAGGGGAGAGCGGAGTGAGTGGGTGGAGGAAGGTGCAGGGCAGTGTTGAGTAGGAGGGGCAGTGGGGCGAGTAGAGGGAGGAGGCGGCGGTGTGAGTGAGGGATGAGCAGCGCGGGCGGCGAGCAGAGAGGAAAGAGTGAGGGAGGCAGCGGTGTTGAGTGAGGAGGGGAGCAGTGGGGCGAGTAGGGAGGGGGCAGCGGAGTGAGGGTTAGAGCAGGATTACAAGCTATCGCGGTGTGGCATGTCGTGCGTCAATTGCCGCGTCACAAATAGGACCTGATGAGTCGATAGTACCGCGCCGAACTGATATCGTTTTAGCTCGTAATTGGCAAGTGCGAATTGTTTCTCTCTACGTGCGCGTTCGCATTCGGGAAAGGGGTGTTTCGGAGTAGGTCGGCTTCACTAGGTCCGCGTGTACGGCGTACTGTCCTAATCAGGTGACAAGTGTGAACAAGTGTATTCTTGTGCTAGATAGTGTTCGCTACGATCGTAATGAGGGGTGAAAGCAGAAGTGGAGAGGGGAGAGCGAAAAAGAGAGAGCAAAGAGAGATAGAGCGATGAGACCGAGAACAGAAAGAGAGAGAGAGAGAGAGACGCGAGAAAGAAAGAGAGAGAGAGAAACCGAGAAAGAAAGAAAAGAGAGACAGCAGAGGGGCAGGTCGGGGGCCGCCTATGGAGTATCATGCTTGTAACACGAGGCATGACGAGATATTATATTGTCTAAAGCTTACTTTAATGAAGTTTTTAATTGAAATTTCGAATCCAAGAACGTCAAATCTGTGATCCCAGCGTGCTAATTAAAATCCGATAATCGGGCGAATCACAGAAATCTTACGGCATATTCCCGCACTGGGAACAGTACGTGGGGGAGGGAGGACGTCTGAGCGTGTTTGTATGTAATGTTTTACGTGCCGTGCGAATTACGCGGCAAATATCGGCGTAGCGTTTGCGATGAGTGTAGTGATGAAGGCCCATCTCCCTCCTGCCTCCTCGCCTCGCGCCCTTCCGCTCCCTCCCTCGCTCCCTCGCTCGACTCCGCTACAGCCCTCCCTGCTCCCGCTCTTCCCTCCTCCTTGGCCCTTCCTCCTCCCTCCCTCGCTTTCCCCCTCCCTCCCTCCCTCCCGTCGCTCGCACTCTCCCCCCTCCGCTTGCCGCTCACCTCGCCTCCTGCCGCTCCGCTTCCTCCTTCCGTCGCCTTCGCTCCCCTGGCGCGCGTCGCCTGCCTCCCTGACCGCTCTCCCTCTCCCCCTCGCCCCTGCCCTCTCCGACCCTCCCTGCCTCGCCTGCCTCTCTTTCTCTCCTCCTCTCCTCCTCCTCCTCCCTCCCTCCCTCCCCCCTACTTCTGCTATCTGCCCTCCCCTCGCTTATCTCCAGCTGCTTCCGCCATCACATCCCTCTCTCCCTCCCATCACCTCCCATCCCTCCATCCCTTCATGCCATCCTTCTCTCCCTCCCGTCCGCTCCTTCCCTCCCTCCGCCGCTCGCATCCCTTACCTCCCGTCTCCGCCCCTTCGATCGTGGTGTCCGCAGCGCGCAGGCTAAATATGTGTCTGTTTGCCGCTTTTATACTGCGGCACGACTTTAGCATCCGGCTTCTTGAAGGCGGATAACTTTAGCATCGGATCAGTCGTTTTAATAGCTGCGAGCTTAAAGGCGACATTTAGAAGGGCGAGCTGAAAGTCGAGAATACCTTTTATACATGCGTTAGGCTGCGGTTGAGCGGACCTGAAACGCACTCCCCTAGAATACGGGATAACTTTAGCTCCGGGCTAAAGTACTGTTTCGATGCTTTATACTGGGGGTTATCCCCTTGCAGGCCGGACGGCTGAAGCGGTAAACGGCTAAGTATAAAAAGCGGCAAACATGTGTGTCATAGCGGCCGAGCCAGTGTGCAGCATCGATGATGCTCGCACGGATGCCGGGCAAGCTCGGCTCTGCCGCTCCAGGTAGCAGCTGGATGCTGCGAGGTGACCAAGTGAGTATGTACGGTGGTGCCTCACTCAATTCATAGTGGGAGCCATAGCACTACCTTTGACTCAACGCAGCTTCCACTGACACGTGGGCTGGGTGTTCCGTGCGAATAGTCACTGTCGTTGTGTGTGCGGTGGCGTCGCGCTGCGTGCGTGGCGTGTGGGTGTGTGTGCGTGGCGTGTGGTGCGTGCGCGCGCGTGTGTGTCCTGTGGGCTGTCCGTTGAGCTAAAAGTGCGATTGTCTCATCCTGGCTGTTGAGAGGTGGCTGTGTCCTGTAGTGGCGGTTCGATTGTGTTCGTGTGCTGTTGTACAGAGGTGGCCTATCTGCGGCCCTGGTTGTTGACAGATGGTTGTGTCCCTTTAGTGGACTGGGGTGACTGTCCTGCTTCGCTTGTCTGGGAGGCAACTAGCGATGTGCAGCCGTGGTAACATGCGCCTGCTCGTAACACGGCCACACCCCATCTTATTCTATAGAGAGTGATCATATGGTGTAGGTACTACTAGGTGATGAACAGAGTGTAGCACGCAATATGCATTGCCAGCTATACAGCAGTAGTGGTGGTTAACTACCCACCCTCTTGCATACTCTCACAGTATAATTATGTTTACGGAGGGCACAGCGCACGCGGTTTGGTTATGCTGTAGTCGATGCGCTGGCTCACACTGCTGACATGACTAGTGGAAGCTGAGCGAGGGAGTCGGGGATGGTGCGTGGGTAGCGCCGTCGCACGATAGCGATAAAACAACCAATCGCGAGAGTAAAAGTTGTGCGTGCGTGCGTGGCGTGCGTGCGTGCGTGTGTGTGTGTGGGGGGGGGTTGCGCGCGTGCGTACGTGGGTGCGTGCGGCGTGTGTGTGTGTGTGTGCGTGTGTGTGTGTGTGTTGCGTGGGTGCGCAGTGCGTACCGTGGGTGCGTCAAAGCCTGTGGTGCGTGCGTGCGGTGTGTGTGTGTGTGTGTGTGGTGTGTGCGTGTGCCGTGTGCCGTGTTGGCGTGTGCGTGTGCGTGTGCGTGTGCGTGTGCGTGTGCGGTGTGCGTGTGGGCGTGTGTGTGTGCGGTGTGTGTGGTGTGTGTGTGTGTGGCGCGTGTGCGTGCGTGCGTGTGTGTTGAGGGCCTCGCGTGCGTGCGTGTGTGTTGCGTGGGTGTGCGTGGCGCCAACAAGTGCAGGCAGCAAGTGAACGGACAGGTCTAGTTTTGCTCCTGAATCACGCGCCACAGATAATAGCTGCGCG